TTGCAATATTGCTTCTGCTTTAGTGCTTAAATATCAAAACCATAATCTACTGCATGTCACTATGAAAAGTCCATTTTACGGCTTACGTGGAAAAGGAATTATTTCCAAACTTGGAGCAAGAATGCATTTTCTTGTGTCTTAATCTGGATGAACTATAGTCAATCATCAATTAAACTTGAACCACACCACACGCAAATAACATTTAGGGACAGAACTACATGAATACAAATGGGGATCGCATATCAGAAACAATAAAGTTTGAATATTTCACCAGATAATTATAGTACACCTACACAGCCCCATGCGTCTTTAGGGAGGGACTTCCTCCTGCATTCTGGCTTGTGTGTCACAAAGCACACCAATAGCAAGAGCTCTCTCTGTTCCATCCTCTGTTTGCTAGTTTCAGTCAGACAAAACAAGAAAAAACACCCAAATTAAAACTGAAGCATGTGAACTGTTACTTAACCCCAGTGCAATACAGTGGATCAGGAATTGAACCAATGGCTTGCTGGCTTCAAAAGTCTAATTAATCTTGTAGACTGTCAGTCCTTTAAAACAAAGGTTTAAATAGAAATACTTCACGTCTTTCAGAGATCCACTCAAGGCCTCTTGAAGCTGTTTTTGGCAAAGAGAAACTCCCGTGAAAGCTTTGTTCACTATTTTCTTTAAATTCCAGAGGAGAATTAACTTTTTTCAAAATAAGAACCCTTTGTGTATACATTTTACAACATGGATAAATACAGTAGGATATGCAGTGTACCTCTGATGACAGGAAAAATATAAAAGTTTCAAAGAGTTTGGTTTTAAAGCTCAATGTTTTCAGAGTGCACAACATATTCACCCTAATTAAAAAAAACATACATATAGCATTACTCATTCCAAAGATACGGCTCTCCACCTAATCAGTTGTCTACTTTTTCTCAATATTTTAGTAACTTAGTAATTCCTGTACAATTTCTAATATAATCTTATAATAAAAGAGCTGTTGTAATTTAACAGTGTATTCTCTAACACTCACACAACCCTGAAACAAAACAGTAGCAAAACCCTCTTTTATAGTGCTCTTTTTTGCATGCTTGAGCTACAGCTCATTTTATCCAGTCACTACATCAGAGCTTTCAACCAAGTTGGTATTTGATTTTAACAGGGAAATAGGAAATAAGTAGTATTGTAATGCAGTAGTGAAATGCATAAAAAAGCACAACAGAAATTGCGGCTTTTCTTTTACATTTAGAGAATAATATACTTCCAGAACATGAAAATGTTTATTACATGATGATATGCCCTTTACTGCTTGATGAATAATTCATTTGACATAATATAAACTGCAAGATGAACTTTATTATAATATTCACTGTCCAATTAAAAAAATGACTATAAATGTTCTGAAGCACTATTAAAAGTAGTTATTTTGAGTGCGCCAGAAGTATGCTTTGCCAGCTCAGGACAAAATGTAAAATTTTCAATATAAATAAAGCAATCGCTTTAAAAAAAATCAACTCGATTACTTGTATAAAATTACTAAACTTGCAAAAGGAGGACTTTATCATTTACATCCAAGAGGAAGAAATCAGGTGCCCCAATAGCTAAATTCTTTTTTTATATGCAACACCAAAAAAAAAATCCTCTACAACATGTTTACAACCTACTTTGTTAATGTATCAACAATTATGGTTCACTGAATGCTGATCTTGTATCTTCCATACATTCCAGGAGAACCCGAATATCCATAACTCCCGCAGAAGGTACACACCCACTTTCTTTGGGATATAGTGGAAAAACAAACTTGGGACAGGGTTAAAATAAGGTTATGGTTAGGACTGTATATATACTGTACAGTATCAATCTACAAGTCTATTATATGGAACAAATATATACTCTGGATACTCACTAATGTCAGCAAGATTCAATTAAGATTTCTAGTAAATTATTTCCACAATAAGAAGATCATCAAGTCATACACAAAAGTATTCCCACCTAGTCTTAAACCAGTGCATTCATGAGAAATTGTAATTACCACCTAGCAGGATGAACAAGTGCTTAATCAATATTAAGAAGACATCAATGTCGAACGAAAAGAGTTTATCCCACTTAGATGAAAGAATGATCTGCATTGTCTGAGATGGAGGGTGTCAAAACCTAAATCTGAGTCTGTCCGTGGATTTCAGTAAGAGACGACAGCGTTCCCGTTTCGTCCATTTTTTAAGTGGGCGGAAAAGGGAACAAAGAGTAAAAGTATTACAAAGCCAATTACAGACATCAATGTTTATGCGAGTTTTACTTGACCAATACTAAATTATATTCCTCCGACACTTTGATAAAATGCCTGCCACAGCACTGACGATTTGTCAAGAGCTCGTGATTTTTGCCCTTTGTTCTTCAGAACAGAACTGCATACTTGATAAATGACCCCTCTTCATCACAAGGCTTGGGAAGTTGTGGTCCCGGTTTTTAAGAAATGTACTGGAGAAAGCCCCGTGGATATTTATTCTAAACCATGCCGTACAAATGACCAGTTCCAGACAAACTGGAAGGCTGGGGTCAGGAATTACTTGATCTGAGAACAGAAATCCTGCCATTACTGAAGGAACGTGCCTGTAATTTCCATATTTCTGCATATTTTGTTGGACTTAATTCAACATTGGTTTTTATACTTGTACAGACTTTGGTATTTAGTTTTTAGTATTAGTATACTATTACATGCAAACACCACAAGGAAGAAAAAAACTAAGAAAAAGAAAACAGACTGGGTCACTAAAGTATTTGGTATGCAAGTGTAATTGCATTACATTTCAAACTCTATTTAAAATGTGAACACTAATTTCCTCATTTTTAAGTCCTTACTTCTGAAACGACCATTTGGGCCTCACTCAATGACACTAATAATGCCTGAGGTCAATACTGTACATACTCTGTATCAACACATACACTACAGGTTGTAAGCAAAAGATATAGATGGGACTCTAGCACATTTCTTTGCTGTAAATTTGCTTTAATTTAAAATGTGTATTTAGCTGATGAAATAAAAACGTGTTTAAAGGCTGTAGTAAAATCATATATTTTAACTATCTTCTGTCAAAAAGTACGTTCTAGGCCCTGGATAGGAAGGTCACTGTCTTACTCCATGTTTTTTTTTCAAATTGCAGTACTTGCAAGAACAACAAATCAAGACCTATACAGCTTCAAACACACAAAACAACACTAACTTTATTTAAAGCTAAAAACCTACATTAAGCCTACATTAAAGTTCAACAAGTGATCTGTCCCCTCATGAATCTAATTTTATTTCACATCTTCAGTTCCCATACATGTGCCTTCCTAAAGGTAAAATGTCACAGAGGCACACACAGGTGTCCATCAAGGATGTTACTACTCACATACCCAAATTTCTAAGAGGAGATTTGAATTTGCAGGCAAATCAAAACGGGAAAAAAATGAAATCGTTTATTCATGACCCCGCTAGAATCCAACAATGCAGAATTTGTGAATGTTGCAACATTTAGCTTTCTGCCACAGTTTTTGGCAGGTTAGTGTTATTGTACAAAAACTGCTACTCGTGTGCGTCTCAGGTTAATCAGAGACTGCAATCTATACACAGTAAGCGGCTTACTGCTACGTATCTGGTCAAATCATGTGAGTGGCTCAGGTCTTCACTTTTTAGCTACTTTAGTCACATTAAGTTGTTAGATCTTGCAGAGCATCAAGTAGGTGTTGCTAAGGAACAGTCACTTGTCCACATCTGTGACACAAAAATGGCAAAGGCTTGGCATTTATTCTGCAAAAAAGTGTTTTTTTTAGACACACTTCTCTAAAAGTATGCATATACCAGTTTATTCAGTGTTACAGCTTTAGGCACTAAAAAACAGGTGCAGCAATCCCCAAAGGTTTCTGCTTACTAGCTTACTGTAATGCACTACTACTTCAACAACCACATAAAACTCATGTTTTATTTTTAAAAAGTATGTATGTCACCTCTGTTTTATGTTGAAATGGTTGAGTTCAGTCTAACTACCTCTATACCATCCTCATGGTTACGAGCCTAAAATTTTGTGAAGTACAAAAAATTGAGAACTGAACAAATCCGGAGAGAAACCAAAGGATCAGGTAACATTACAACAGTTTGTGTGTAGTAATCACTGTTTCTAGAGTGATCTAAATGCTCTTCGTCCTATTACTGTACCTTATCATCCGCATGCATTTAGATTTCTGGGTTGTTTAAAATTCAGTCTCCAATTTGTAAGTCCATTATTAAGACAATTCTAAGCACTGGCAACACAATTCATAAAACAATGAAAGACAACTAAAAATGTAACTGAACAGCTGACTTACCTGTAAAATGCAAAGTCACAACTCAGAAAATGTGGGCTATCTGGGAATTCTAACAGAGGGATTTCTGTAAAATCCTACACAACAACTTTAAGGCAACAGTACCACACACACAGTATACAGGTTAAAAGGAAAACCTGAAAACTGAGTCCTCACATTATCCAACCAAGAAAAAAAAAGTTCCCAGTTCTTTTCAGCTTCTCAACTGCATTTCAACAACAGCCTCACAGATCAGACTGGGTGTTTCAAGCATCCTTTCCTTACGGACAATGCATTGCAAACTTATTTCATCGATGGGAAATATTATTGCAAAACCTATTTCGGCTCAAATACAGCAAGACCGTATTCATGAAGGGTTTAATACAACTTCACTCTGAATAGCCCTTCTGCTAAAAGGGAGAAAAAAAAAGCTAAAATGCAGTGAGTCACAGAAGACTTGATACTATAGATGCTGCTTCTGAGTCAGTCAACATTAAACTTATGTGACTGAATGTAGCCTCAAGAAAAAATGCTATAAACACTGAATTGGTGAAAATGGTTTTGTGAATACAGGAAGCTGGACATGTAAATACAACGACTGAGTTTATAAAGTTCACCAAAATGAATTGTGATTAATAAAAAAAACAAACAGAAACAACGAGACTGATTTCACTGAAGCAAAGGGCCTTACTTACATGTGTACATGGGGGGGCTGGAACCTGCTCTGGTTAATGTTGTAGTGTGTGAATGCCTGGGTAGGGTTCGAGCTGTATTCATCCACAGTGATGGTAACCTTGCCCTGGGATGGAATTCCATGAGCCATCCTTCTGACTTTTTGCACATGAGCAATCTACCAGGATCCAGGACAAACCACTGCTGTAACACTCATTGTTCAGAACCCCAACTCAAAACCCAGACCGACTGCTCCAGTGCTGGACTGTGATCTATGGAGAAAGGAAAAAAAAAGGGGGAAAAAAAGAAAATATTTACAAAAGGGGTTTTGTTTGTTAATTTGTGTTGTGTAAATGTTTACAAAATGGCATGATATACTGTAAAACTATCGACTGCTGTGCTTGTGACAATGTAGCGCATACAGCTCTAATGCAGAATCTCTAGGTCTTTTCCTGCAATGTCAAATGTGCTTCATGCAATATTAAATTACAGTCAAAACAATCACACAATAAAAGGTAGCTAAATGACCATTTTTATCTTTTGGAACATATGACCATTTCAAATGTTGTTCAACTCCCACTTTTCAAACTTTACAATTCTACTATTCAGCTGCAGCCTTCACATCATTTTAGATTTGCTGCTTCCATGTTAATGGTGAAAGGAGGCAAAAAGCTGAATACCTGTTGTTGTTTTGTTGTAGTCTATCTGATCATTGAATCGGGTGAATAATAAAAAAAAACAACAGGAGAGTGAAACTATAATCGCATACAAGGTCTAGCTTGTACAGCACCCACATTATCTAACCTTCAGCAAAAGAAAATCAATTAAAAACCAAGAGCATTTTCACTTTGCTGTATATACACAGTACTTTACTTTCAAGCATATCATATACAATAACCAGTACTTTAGTTTAGTATAGTTTCAAACAGTCAGGACTGCTGTACAAAGCTGCCTCTGTGAAGCTACTGTACCTGTATGACCGAAATAATGCAACAAATCTTTTTTTCTTATACAACTTATAGTACTGATGTGACTCACAATGGTTCACTAGCAAATACAATGTTTGAAATATTTGCTTTTATTCAATTTATCAGTGTTTTCGAAGCAGAAGTAGAAGTTTATAAATACTTCCGTAAAATAAGAGCTGTGACACAATGACTCAAAGCACGAAACAAACGAAGGAATTTAGTTAGGCTATCCCCGCCTGTTGATAATTTCACTAAAACACTTTGCAACAGAAACACAAAATTGTTACAAAAGATCGAAACCTTAGTAGCATGTTGATGGAAATGACACATGAGCTTTAACGTGAAGCCACATTGTTACAGGTACTAATAGGGAACTTCAGTACACTCCTACTGTAGGTACAGAAAGTTGGCGCTGCTTGCTTACAGCAAATGCGAATGGCATTTCTGTTATTCTGTACACCTAGGTGTTTCTTCACTCTACACAAACACATGCACATCCAAAATATTTTTCCTTTCCATCACAGGTAAAATGTTTTTGGAATTACAAATTTAAGTCATTACAGTAAGTATTGGAAACGAACTCGTGGTCTTCAGTGGAAACAAAAGAATGGCTGGGTACAAAAATAGTCTTCTCGTAACAATCCACTCGGTACAAAAAATGATTTTGTTATTAAAAACTTTAATATAACCCAGGCTCGGCGCAAGCCGATTGTTATCGTAGTACAGATGGACAGAAAATGCATGGTTCTGCTGAAGTAGATTCGCTAGTGTACATCCTACAGTACATGAATGATTAGATTGGCATAGCTAAAAAAAACAAGATTTCAATTTTTCGGAGTTTTTAAAAACACATTTTCCATGCACCCGCATCTGAAAAAGCCCGAGAAGAAGGGGACTCCCTGAGAGACGAGACAAAAAGGAAAGATTTTCAAAGTACGTTGCATTTCCAGCAGACGCTACACCTCGCACACTTGTGGGACTAACTCTATCCCTTCTTTCGGTTACCGGCAATGCGCTCGCTATCTCACGCCGTCCGAAAAGCTCCTTCTCCGCGTCTGTGGCTGAGCTTCGCTTGCCTCCGGCGTCCAGCCCCCCTCGCTATCCCTTCTGATTGATTATAGTCGGTAGCCAATGGGTTTGACATCGCACCCTCCTGGCTTTTGTACAAGATCTCCTGTTCAACGTCATTCATTTTAAACCCTGCCACGACCCCACACTACTACAGCACGATTGCTAATATGAAACCAAAACAACGCGAAGCTCGCATTCCGCGGGTTCAGTTAAGGATATATACACTCGGAAGCTACAAAATAACTCCGTGCAATTTCAATTTACAAGCTTTCCGAAACACGAGGTTCTACTATTCTCGCGTATATTTGCAAATTAAAATTATGCTCCAGTGCCAGCGACCAAGCTCTCTACCAATTACATTTTACTCCAGCTGTGTCAATTTCATCCAAATCCCTCCCTCTGTATTTTAAAACAACTTAGGCCTCGAAGATAACAATTTCTTATCCTTTAAAAATGTAACGAATTGCCCGTGCACTTCAAGTAAAAAAAAAAGGCAAGGGAGCCGTATTAAAAACCCAAACTAGAAACCGCTACTTTGTTCGCAGTACTTTCCGAGCAGTTCAATAATAAAAATAAAACCGTGAACAAACCACAGTCCAGTTCCTACTATATTCCCAACCTATTCTGCACAACGAGAACCTAGAATTTATAAATTTCATTTGCAGTTTAAGTCAACGGTTTCGCTTCACATCTTACGGGTTCGTGTTATATAATGAACCCTGGCCTGCATTATTCTTGCTTAAAGCGCTGTATAAACCCGAAAGACTAAGTTTTAAGTAAACGGAAAAATACATATGTTCCCATCTTTCTTTCAAACAAATCACTTTTCCTTGCAAAGAGGGGAGAGAAAATTAAAACCCTGGTACCGCACGGAACAACATAGCCACGGCATCTTCTAAAGCAGAATTCACTGCTGTAAAATGCACAACGATGATTAAAAAGCATAAAAAATAAACCTAAAACTAGACATGAGATATATATTAAAGCAACGATTGTCGGCATATGCAGCAATCCGGTGCACTGACTAGACTCCTGATCTTTCTCCTTGTAAATGACAAGGCACCTCTAACCCACGGCTTTGTGTTTTGTTATTTTTTTTTTCCCTGCGATTTTCTCGCTAATCTGGGGGTGAATACCTTTCCTCTGGCTGTGATGTGTCCCGGGGTTGCCCTCTGCGTTGTTAGAGACGCCGATCCATGAAGAATGGATGCAGATTTGGAAGGCTAAGAGGTTGAGGTTGGAGCAGGGCAGGGCAGAACCTTCGACCCTGAGGGACCCCCGGCTGGCTCTTGTGGAAATGAGACACAGACAGAAACAGAGCGAGTGAGCGAGGGAGAGAGAGAGAGAGAGCAGCCTCGATCTGGGAGAAGGGAGCCTGAGAGCAGTGCAGTGAGAATGGACTGCCACTGGGGTCAAGGAGCACAGCACCAGAAGGCGCTCTCGCTCGCTAGCTTGCACACACACACACACGGGCGGGACGGGGACACGCACGCAGCACACGGGGCGAAAGCAAGGCGGAATAATACGCCGCGTCCACGTGGAGAGTTTTATTTCTATTCTTGTTCTTTTGCCACACGAGGCAAAAAAATAAATACCTCTAAGCGTACGGGAATGGAAACGCTATTAATTCCTCTCCTCCGCCTTTGTGTCGGAGTCCAGGTCAGAGAGGCTTTATAAGGACAGATGTGTACCGCACATTGTTTCATTGAAAAAAAAAAAATAGCTGGCTCCTGCATCGATCAGCCTGGGTCCAAGTTGGTGTGTCGTGCTCTGCCGATATGAGATTTGGAATGTATCGTTACTTAAAAGCTGTATAATCAGATATAGGGTTTATCTATAAAAACGGTTGCTGTTTTTGCGCTTTGAAAGGGAAGCAAGTGTATATATATTGTGTACCAGTACACCCTAACCTGTATTACACTCTCTGATGAACGATATAATAATAAATCAATATAATCGAAAACCTGCAGTAGCATGCGCTACAGTAATCTTGGTTTATTACAGGTATTGTGGCTTAGTTGAAAACGGGATAAGTCACATTTTTTTTTCCTGAATCGGGGAGCCAATGCGCCACAAAACCGGCCTAAACAAGTAACGATTCAATTTTAAGTTCGCTGTCATGATGGTATGTGTACCTGAAAAGTATGGGTTGCTGTTGCCAGCCTTCGGAGAGCTACAGTACTTGTCATATTCAGGCAATAAAGGAGCAAAGTTTAATTCACGCGTAAATGTTCTGTGGGTTTCGGTTGTGGAGCTGGAATTCACATGATCTCCTTTATTGCAGCTCTCCACTGTTAACATTTTCAGATAATATTCTGCTTAACATTTTTTGAAATGCTAGACGACGGAGTCATCGACATGGGGCGGCGCGACCTGTTTTGGTAGTGATGCAGTACATATGCATCACCAACAAATTTGTAATACATTTTAAAAATGTATGACACCTTAAGGAATGCACTGCAGGCCTATTTCAATTGAAAGAGAAAGAAACACCTGGGAGTGAAAACGTAAAGATAACGTTTTGCTTAAGTCTTAACCTCCAATTACCCGTGAGTAAGAGGCTACTCTCTGTACTGAAGTTCTGGTGGAAGCAACTGATGGCAAACTCGGATAGAGCTGCACAGATAATAAAATACACTGCTGCATACAATGAACTCAGCTTCAATACGAACAAGACGTTTTTGCTGTATTTGCAGTGTCACTGAACGCTTTCTCGGGCTATACTGTACGTTTCGAGCTCTTCTTTTTCTTCTGTGGCTCACCTTTTTGTTTTTAAACTTGATCAAAGTTTGAAAGGAAGGAGTCAGTTTCTGTAGTACCCCATCACTGTATAACCCTATAAGACAGCAACGCAATACCTAACTAAGCTAGGTGGTGGACTTACAAATGCTTATTGATATCACATAAGCTACAGTAAATCAGTTAAGTTGGTAGCTGTAGTAATCTTTCCACAGGACCTAAAACAAGAACTTTATTAAATATATTACCCCAGTCATTTCTGATGCTTAACAGCCCGTGCATTCTGCATGCTTGCATTGCCTGCAGACTGTGAAAAGAGAGAGTCAGGAACGTATAGGAGTTCTTTGTTACAGTAAAGGAAACCGAGCCACAAAATGTATCTTCATATCTTTTTTGTTTTCTACCACATACATTTTATGGGTGTAAATCTTCTAAATGTGGGTACCGTTCTGGTACCAGCTCCACTGCATTCGCTCGGAACCCCACACTCTGCAATTCGCCAAGTGTCATAAAAGCAAGCTACCGAAAACAAGTCTTCATAACGTTACAGACTGGGAGGCAAGGTCGATAAAGCACAGCTCATAATATAATTCAAGTTATACAGTCATTATAGCTTGGGTCATTAAAATCGTGCAGACCGCAATGGAGACAAGAGTTCCCACGAGGTCAGAAAGTGCTGGCAGGACAGATGTTGCATTCTAGCAGATAGGTAGAAAGAATTTAAAAGAACCGCCGTTAACAGGGCAAACAAATACGCTTAGATACTATGATCAAATAATTTTTCAGCTAGCGATCTCTCAAACCTTTGTATAGAGAATGTCCTACATGCTTTCCTACAGTACACACCTTCCTTTTTTCTCAGATGCCCTGAATTTAACTAGGTTAGGCTCTTAATAATTCACGAGAGTTGATTGGCGTGCTGTACTCGGCCAGCAAACGCTCCTAACCTGATTGATAACGACAAATGCCTTTCCACGTCCTTGTAAATAAATCGGCTTTACTAATTTTATGAAATATAAATAAGGAGGGAAATCATGGGGGAGGAGAGATGAGCTTTACACAAACTCACACGCGTGGCGGACAAGGACAAACGCGACTTCTAAGAGATGAGAGCAACAGTGTATATACAGGGTATTGTACATATAGTGCAAGCTGATGGAGGGAGAATAATGAATCCTATCACAAGAATGAGGATCTGAGGGATTACAGCTGGGCAAGAATCCAGGAGCAAAGCGCACCAAGGATACAAAGAATTAAAATGCTACAATATAACGGCTCTTGAGTCTATCTTTCAGTAGGGTGGGCAGGGAGTAATGGATATGGAGTGTTTATAGTAGTGTAAAGAAGCAGTGTTCAATATGAGGGGGGCATGCTCTCAGGCTGTGCAGCAGCAGAAACTCTGGGATGATGCTCAGCATTCAAAATACCGAAATGTAATAGTGCATGAGTGCACCTTCCACACAGGTCACAGAGCAGCAGAGAGGGAAAGCCTGGACTGTCTTTACACACACAGCCACGGCTCTGGTTCTCTTTCCTGTCTGTACAGCGAGAATGCACACACAAGGGGAGGAAAAGAATGAACTGAATTCGCTGCAGTGGAATCAGAAGGCAGGTCTGCATGAATTCCCGTGTTCTAAACACGCGTGTGCATTGCGGGAGGACTGTAAGAGTAGAAACACTTCTGGCCACACTGCTGTAGCCTACTACTCGTCTTCTCACCAGATTTCACACAGCTACAGGTTTCAGGAATTGTATCGACTTTCTAACAGGATTTCGTTTTTATTTACATAGGATAAGATTTGAGAATCATTTCATTGCATTTGTCCAGAATACAGCCGTGATTAAATGAGAACTGCAGCCTCCTTGCAAACTGTAGGTGATACAGTAGGTGTGAAAAAGCACAGGTGACCAGAAAAACTCCCTCAAGTAAAGGGGTTTTAATCATTGTGATTGGTGGGTGAGTTTTAATTTTTAAAGTGAATTAAATTATTTTACTCTTTTATTTTTTTATGTTAAAAGTTTTTAGTTGAGATTTAGTTCAGACAATTTTACTCGTGTGTGCAAGTGTGCCTTGTAATGGTTTGGTGTCCTGCCCCAGGGGCTGCCCTCTGCTGTGGCTTCAGGAGTTTTTTTTCCTTTAGTGAATGACCCCTCTTCCCTAATAGTGACAAAATTAACCCAGTTCTTCATTACAAAAGGTTACAGTCATGCACCGCTTTCCTTCCAAATATGCGTGGCCAAGTTTACGACTTCTGCCTCAGCAGTGCCTTAAAAGCAGAGCTTCATTCAGTGGAGGACTGTTATTTATTTTATTGATAAGACTGGAAATCTAAGAGGGGTGCCTGGCAAGCTTCAGGAATCATTACTGTATTGCAGGAAGGCCAGGCCAGTGTGATCAGCTCTAATGGACCTAACTGGTGACTTTTTGCCAATTCACTTAGAGAAGCTCCAGTACAGTATATTTAAATATGGCCCAAACGGTGATGTCTTTACAGCAGGGTTCAGCATGCACCTTCAATGAGCTCCTTCATTCACAGAACCTCTTAGGTGCTTCCAGTTGAATATTTTAAAATGGGAGGCCATACTGTAAGTAATGCATTGAACTATGAATTGTTCCATAAACCCCAACTCTTACTGATGCTCAGAAAGGTAAAGAGATGGGGAGCTGCTATTAAAGATTTCTTATATACAATCCCAATTTTGGAGGATTAAGGCATGTGTTGGTTGTTAATGTTTTCATCTTTAACTGAACAGAGCTAATCATTTTATTTCCACAGTGAGTTGCATTCTTTCTGTTTATAGGAAAAAGCATTAAAAATTGTAGGCTAACATTTCTCTTCCGAATAATATACTTGAAGTCTTGACTTCACTTTTGTTGTGTGTATAAATCATGCAGGCCACATACTGTACCATTTTGTGTGGCCTAATACATTTGCAAGCAACATGGGTTTTCTAATTTTACTGACAAGCTTTAATTCTGTGGGCCATCATTACACTGCTTCGCCACAACTGTAATTTCCATTTCACTTTCTCTTATCTTTAAAACACAATTTCATCATCTAGCTGCTGGGTGTTAATGTGGACTGAGTTTGAATTCCATTCAGAGAAGGTGCGTTTAAACATTTGGCCACCATTTGTTTTCTGGCTACAAAAAATATTATCAGGGTACAAATGTCAAATTAGAAATGGGCTTGTTACCACTTATTGTTCAATTTCATTCTTATTCATATTTCTACCACAGAAAGAAAATATAAAACATGTTAAAGCATACCGATCTAAGCATATCACAAGAAAGGTAAATATTTGCTTCCAAAATTAGAAGAGAATAAATCTGTAGAAAAGGACCAGAATAATCAATCAACACATTACTTCAATTTCTCAGCCAGAAGATGGTTGGCTTTCAAAGATATTTGCTTTTACAATAAATGTAAAACCTCTCATTTCATATAGTACAAAAAATCTCCTCCTATTCTATCTCCTGTTTTCATCCCTACAAAAAACCCCACTTACACTATTAAACTGTCAGGAGAACAAAAAAAGAAGATTTTCATGACAACAGAGATGTCACAGTGCAATAAATGAAATGAGCTGCACACACAGATATTCTATACCTGCACAAACTAAATTGTCTTGCAGTTCCAATGATGTGAATTTTACTCTACCAGGTGGA